ATACCTAGTGACGGGAGGAACAAGTCGTGGGCCTGGTGGTAAGCGACACGCCTGTCCATAACAGTTGCAACCACTCAGAGCTTTAAAATACAAAAATTTAAGAGGCACTGCCACTGCACCCGTCACCCTGAAACGTATGTTGATAAGTCCCATGTGCCTGTAATTAGTTACTTAGTCTAAAAATAACACAAGACCGACTGTTAATTGTAAAACATTTACGTGTTCTGTTTATAAACTAAATTTCAAGTAAAAAAAATCATTGAACTGAATTTGATGTTTTACTAAAACACGATTTTATAACCAACCGTAAAGTACACCACGGTTATTTTGCTTGAGGAAGGTTTTTTATTTCTCCATCAACGACCACATGCAAGGCAAAGCAAATGGTTATATAACATCTATTCATAACTTGAAGCATTTTGCACATTTTAAACAACAGATTGTTGCAGTGTTCAGTCAACGGGCAAAAACGTGTTCGTATATAACTTAATTATTACGTACATTTTTCAATCATTTCACAACGAACTACCTCTTAATGCTCGAGTTTGCTTCTGCCATGAAATAATAAGGCAAATTGTCGCCTTACCTCATTGACTTACAATTATATGGACGTCGGGTCCGCGCTAAAAAGTGTTCGAACTTACAGGGCGTTAAAATCGTATACAGAGCGTCATTCACGCTTTAGTCTTCTTTTGTTCGACTGACAGCGAAGCAAGCAAAATTAGACAGTACTGCCATGACATTACAATTTAAATTCAACGTTTTAGCTTTTTCATGTTCCTTTACATGTCACTACGTTTAAATAGGTTGACTTGGGACATTATTTTAGTGGTTTTTGTATTAGACCCGTCGTCCATTTATTTGTAAGTCAATGCCTTACCTTCTCAAAGTTGTCATAAAAACAAAGTACCTAACTGAAATGCAAAAAATGCATTGTACTATTTGCAGGCTGATTTCATATCAAGTTTCCTTCATATTCACACACTGGCCTTTACGTATTCTTATAGTAATGCATTCAAATTAACAACGTTGATAAGAAATTTATATAATAATAATAGGATAATAATAACGCACACACTCAACATATCCCCGCACTAGGAAAACCCTGTGTCGCGGTTGCCATGAACAACAATCACAAATTACACCCAAATTCACGAGAGATACAAATATTTCTCCCTGCCCGGGAACCTGAGACCTCTGCGTGGCAGTCTGGCATGGTAACCGTTCGGCCACGGAGGCAGTTTATTATACAAATTTAAAATAAATAGAAATTTTTGGCATCTCCCGAATACTCTTTATAAGACACGTGTTGGAGAAAGTAAGGCGTCGAAATATGGTAACTCCATACAAACGGTGCAGTGCATTGACGCACAAATTTGCATAATTTCGGGATCAGAGATGGACAGTGGTATAATTCCATACTTATCGATGTCAAAAACCTTTTTTTAATACAGTTGCTCAAAACGTGGTATTTTTCGCACTACAAATCGTGCGGAAAGTTGGATTTCTCGCACTAGTGCTTTTTACTTTTCCAGTTTTTTTTAAATTTACTGTTGTTTTAAGTCTTAAACATAGAACTAAAGAGAATGTATATTTATTTCATATTTATGTGCTTTGTGACGTAAGTCATTCGTCATTAAAACTTATATTTATTTACAAATACTATATAATGAACGTATCGAGTGGAGGTCCACAGTCTCTGCCTACCCCTGAATGGGTGACAGGTGAGATTTTTATGTATATATTTATTTGTTCTATGTATTACAGATAAATTGTATCTCACTACCGAGCACGGGTTCCTAAAGAAGTTTAAACAAAAGTACCAGGACTTCATAATAAGAAAAGTGGTTACAGACCGATATTACAGAAAATAAACAAAAACAGCACGTTAGAACTAGATTTCCATAGACTTTTAACTAATGGTGCAGTGGTTGTATTTCATTATTTTAATTTACTAGCAGAAAATGAGCTTTGTTTAAATACTGTTTTATTTTACTTTCAATGTAGTTTTTTCGCAAATGTATTAAAAAACGTCGTTTGATGCACGTGCGGATTTGTCATTTTCACTTGTCTCGCGTCTTAACCCTCGCCTCTGGCTCGGGCCAAGAAGCCTCGATACTCGTGAAGAATGACTAACTTTCCGCACTTGTATCAAAAATAACTATTTTAGGCGAATAAGAGGCACACAACAATACCCACCTTGCAATCCTGTGCACTTTCATTTTTTTATAACAATAAACAAGTCGTACGCCTGATGGTAAGCGACATGCCTGTTTATAACCGTTGCAGTGTCACTCAGCGCTTTAAATCGCAACGATCTTATGGGCACTGCGACTGAGTCTGTCACCCCGAGACATAAGTTGACAAGTCCCATGTGTTTGTAATTTCACCAGCACCCTTACCCTTCAAAAGTACAGAAATGGGTAAGGTGGCACTACTTCCCTGGACGAACACTTTCACAAGGAGCTCTACTACTACTACTACTATTAGGGATGCACATTATGATTTTTACGAACATCGATTCAAATGAATATGATAGAGAGTTGTATAGATTAATTCAATCAATGCGATTTTCAAGCGAATGGACTTAATGGAAAGGAGAAATACTCGTATGTACAAAAGCATATATTTTAGAATAATAACGCATAGAATGATAGTTTCATATCAAACGAACTGTCACAAGTGAGGCAAAAATCAAATTCATGTATAAGTAGGTTAATTTTCGGTTTTAGTGAATATTTATATGTATAAAAGTACAAGTTGAAACGCGTTACTTCCTTGTGGAATATAATGTTAGTATCTATTTTATGTTTGTGTGACGTACTTTTACACTAATTAAACCGCACTTTTCGTCATTTTTAGCTAAAATTCTTGATCTGTTCGCGGTGCAAGTTGACCTTGAGCACTGACGGCCCGCCCGCTCGTGTAGGCCCTTTGGGAGCGCTTCAATTTGCCTCACTTAGCGTGTGCGGGCTAGGTTTCTATGCTAAAACTATTACCTATTACATTTGAACAAAACTCGATTACACGACCAAAACAAAAGACAATGTCAAATATGAAGCTTCATTCGCGTCATGCGTATTTTGATTCGGTTGAGTATGACTTTTTTCACAATTATTGTTTCGGACGGATGTTGGACGGAGATCGAGAGTAGAATTCGCAGGTTCGAGGCCTGTCAGCATCGAGTATATAACCAGAAATAGAGACGAAAGAAAGGCCATCCATCTGGCAACTCATCAGGTAAATAGGCCTTATATCACTTTTAAATATCAACTTTGGTTTGCTCTGAAATCACAAATTAGAAAGCTGAAATAGTACAGCGTCAACAACTGACCTGTGTGTACGTATCCATAAATTCCAAAAATATTCTGTATTTATTGTAAGTAATAAAGATATCTCTAACGATGAGGGGATGTTCCATTCGGTGTTGTGGGAAAAACAGCAAAACATCTAATTACAAAACAAACGGAATCACATTTCATCGGTAATTAAACATGTAATTTTGCAATTTTCGTCCATTATATCAAAACAAAAATTAAACTGGACCATTTCAAGTGAAACAATTGACGACATCCGTCAATAACAGAGTAATTATTTGGCAGAATAATTTTCAAAAAAATTAAATGACATTTCGTCTCTATTTCTGGTTATATACTCGATGCCTGTAAGATAGAAAGATTTTTTCTTTTTATTCGATCTTTGTATTTAATACATTATTAAACGGAAACGCAATAATAGACTTCCGTGCAAATTAAAGGGGGCACAGAAATTGAAGGCCAAAACGAATAATCTTCCTGCATTTAGGCTAAATAAATTTTCAAAAGTAATAATTATTATTTTATTACCAAATCAAATGCCAACTTAATCATATTAATGGCGACGAGATGCATCCGTACAGTCACTTTTATTTAATACGAGGCAATGCCGTTTGCTCGAAGATGTTTCGAAATGCTACAAGTTAATCTTTACAAAGTATCCAGGTGCATACTTAAGTTGAAATTGAGTCATTCACTAACGAATAGCACATATTTTGTTACGAAATCAACATCCTTAAACCATGTCAATGAGGTATGTAGATATCTGACATACACTAGACTTGTTAGTAAGCACGTAAAGAAGTACAACTTTAAAATCCTGTTTGGTATGAGATCTATGAAAAAAAAAACACCGGTTTGGATTTTTTATCCCAAGATCCAGGATATTTAAAACAGCAGTAATGCAACTTTAACTAGCATAGATATTCACCCACGTTTTAGTTTAAGTCATCATCAACTGTTGTGCACCTCTTCGGCGAGAGTTTAAGCCATAGTCCGCCACGCAGGCCCGGTGCGGGTTGTGAACCTTCTTCAATGGGTAGGTTTCTTCAGGATGTGTTTCTTTACCAAAAAGCTCATTGCAATTTTAAGTTAAATTAAGGCAAGGTATTTCAACGCGACCCTAGACTATACGACATGAGTTATGGGGGTTGACCGCTAAGTAACGGGTAAACCGCTAGGCAATTTTTAAGTTTTGGCATAGATGTGATTTTTTTTGTAATATCAAGTGACGGGACGAACAAGTCGTGCAATTTATGGTAAGCTACACACCTGTACATAACAGTTGCAGTGCCACTCAAAGCTTTAAATCGCCAAGACCTGAAGGGCAATGCCACTGCGCCCGTCACCATGAGACATAGCTTGACAAGCCTCATGAGGTTGTAATTTCACCAACACCCTTACCCTTTAAAACCGAAACACAGTAATGCGGACTTTACTGCTTGGCGGCAGAAATAGTTAATGTGGCAGTACTTTGCAGTACCCTGGACGAACTCTTTCACAAGGACCTCGTGTTACTGTCGTAAACCGAATGAAAATCATTGACCGCGTAACTGGTTCTTAATTTTTGGAAATAAATAATCGTCGATACGTAATACGTAATATATTACTTAGGGTCGTATTCCAGAACTCTACTCAATACTCAAGTCAGGCCTTGAGTATTGCAGTGAGCACTGAAAATCATACTCAAGTCCTTGCCATTAGGGTCTTGTTGAGGCTTCCACGTTTCTGCAGCGCATCTGGCATGTTTGCGGATGCTGCTGTTAAGGATTTTTGTGCCATCATGCGCAAAATGTCTGCAGCGGTGGTACAAAGGGTGCTGGGAAGCAATAACAAGATCCTAAAGCTAATTGCAAAGAGGATGGATGCAGCAGTTTTCCAGAGGTTCACCGAATTGCATGTACTGCGTGCGAATCGGTGAGCCGCTTGGAGAGCCGGGTCCGTCTTATTTTATTTTTAATTTTATTAATTTTAGTTATGTAATTGTACTAACCCTAATAACTAACATAGTTATAAGTTGTTATGTTACTAACCTACTAATTTATATGGATTACTGTGGTTCGAAATAAAAGATTTTTATTTTATTTTATTTTTTATTTTTATTAGGGTCGTATTTCCGGTGCTTGAAATCATACTCAAGTCTGCTCAAATCCTGACTTGAGTATTGAGTAGAGTTCTGGAATAAGACCCTTAAACTCAAATAATCCTTATCTCATAGTCAAGCAAGTTACACTTGAAATCGTCTTATTGATTATACTCTACAGCAGATTCCCCTGAGATCATTAACAATATTTATTTCAAACATCGAAACTGCAAGAGCTAAACAGATCGCTACCACGGATTTTTGTCATCCAAGTATGCCAGAGCTGTATAATAATAACCTAAAGGTTATAAAGTTTTTGTTTCACTATAGTTTTATCAACCGGAATCTTTTTATAGAAGCGTTTATTAAATATTGGCCGTTAATGAATTGACTTTGTGAAGACGACTATCAAGCACAGTTATTTTATTTTTATTCCTCGTATGAATGTTATGTCAGTCACTATTTTTCATTAAAAAAAAAATAGGTACTACTCTTCTTAACGTAAATTACATTTTCATAAATGTACTGTGACGCTAGCGAATGTTAATGTTTTTAAACTTATCTTTTAAAGACACTTCGTAAAGATTCATCCGGTCATGTGGTATTTACAGTTGTAAAGTAAAAAAAGATAACGTAAAACTAACGACTTTTAAATTAATTTGCGTGAACATTCAATTTAAAAAAAAATGTTCTAAAAGGATGTTAACCGCATTAATCATTCTAAAACGTTAATGTCGGAATCAAGACAGACCTAATTATAGATCAATATGCATTTTTAAATGTTACACCGCAACCTTGCACATCCCACTTTGATAATATACGACGATTTTGAATAAAAAATCTAACCTAAACTGGTTGTCTAGACATGTTTATGAAATGTTGATATAAGGTCTAAAGTGTAAAGGATTAGGATGCTAAAGAGAAACATTTAAAATATCCTTACATTTTCGAGACTCTCATGGTAATCGCCTTATTCGGACCACAAGTATTTTATTACGAAATTTTTGCTTAACGTTGCCCGTAAGTGTACTTTGACATAAATATTTCTGGGTGGTTAAATTTAGTATCATTTTGTTGTTGAGTCTTTTATTGCTTTAGATTAGATTTTAGTTAAGAATTAAATGTTTCATTTAATGTGAACTTCGCAATTACCAACTCTTTTGTGGACAAATAGATTTATATCCTTCACTTGGGTAATTCCTGTGTTGTTGTGAAAATTTCTACGCAAACCATGCCGGATTGTATTTTTTTTTTGCTTTAAAAGGCGTTTATGACAATGTCATGCAAACTTAAACTACAGATAATAATACTATACTAGTACAGATACCCAATCTCAGGCAAAGAATTGTCGCAAACATAACTTCGCTTATTCGGACGATAGATGGTGCCAAGTAAATCCGCGATGCGATTGTAATAATATTCGAAAAGGCCAACAGATGGCAGCTATTATTACATTTTTGTCGGCGTTAATTATATGTATGACATATAATAAAATCGCAAGGAAGCTGAGTCTGTATTTTTAATATGTTGCAGTAAAAGTCAGTGCTAGACATGTGCTAGAACGTTGTTTACTTTGAGAATAAATTCAAAGAAATTCCATCTAAGCAATTTATTGCGAACTAATCAATTGAAATGTACACCATTTGGAAATCTTCAACTTGATATTTTTTCAACGACTTTTTACTGTTTTTACCAACTTTAAATGAATTGATGAAATATTTCTAAAATGTTGTTTAAATAGCTTTGCATATCATTTTTATATTTTATACTTCTTATTTACCACTCAGTCGTATTTTACTTTTTTATAATTTTTTTTATTATAAATTTTCGAGATTCAATACGTTATATTTTATTCGTGTCGCTATCTACAGTTTTAAATATGTACTAAAGTTAATTAGCATGAATTGATTGGTACCACATGCTTATACTAAACTCATTCAAAGAATAAAATCATATCAAGCTGTTAAATTTTGACATCGTTGAAGTTAATGTCCTTTTGTTACCGATAGAGAAACATCTGTTTGAATGTTTGATGCCTTACCTGGTAAGCTCTTTCAACTTGGTAGCAGCCTGCAGGGATGCGTATCCATACTTGGCGTAGCGAGTTGCGTCTTCCGAAGGTGCGTTGAAAGCTGCCACGTAGCGAGCGGGGTTGGTATCATCGAGCCACATGCCTAGGGGTAGCAGGACAGAAATAAAACGCACATCGTACATGAAAGAACAAAAAAATACAATTTCAAGAAATTTGGAGTGGCCTCAGTTTTGTGCGGTGCAGTGTTTCGACGAACCAAATGTCGAATATCATCTTAAATTTTTCATTCAAATGAGACGATGCTTATCACAATGACATTGACAGCTTTTTGCGTTGATGACCTTTATTGTCATAATTTAGTTTTCTTCCCAATTTGATATAAATGTTACAAAACTAAAATCAATGTCATTTGCGCTATGGAGATAGTTGTTATGCATAAATAAAATTTGAAATTGAGCCGTTGGCTACTTCAGCTACCTATGATAGTCAAAAGGAAGTACGTTAACTTACCCATAGAATATAGCTTTGGTTCCAAAACGCTATACAACTCATGCATTTTTTGCATTCCATACTCAGCTGCCTCCAAAATATCTTCCTTCTCTCCAATAGTCAAATTCTCAGCTCTCAAATCATCATAGCTGTCATCACCATCATCTAAAGTTGATGTGTTATCAAAATAATAATCACTTTCAGTTTCATTGTCAGGAACTTTCAAAATAGTTTCTTTAGAATCAAACGTCACATTTGCTTTTGTAAAGTTTTCGTTATCACAGAAAGTTACAACTATAGTTGAAATATTTTTACTAGCTGAAAATGAATGGTTCTTATTGTGATTTCTTTCGATTATTGTTATGTTATGTAGTTCTTTGTTTAATGTTGTGTTGAACATAGGCATTAGATGTTTTAGGACTTCAATAATATTGTTTGACGTGTTGTTAGTGCTTGTGTTATTTGGTTCTATGGTTAGAATTTCGACGTACATTGTTTTTTCCGTTGAATTTGTTTTATCTATTTCATCATTATGCACTGGTTCTTTAGGAATGTCCTTATGTGGTTTACTTTTATTTACATTTCCTTCAATGTCATTTATTGTCCCTTCTTCATCCTGATTTTCTATGTTTTCACGTCTAGAAGAAATGTTTTTCGTACTATCGTTGGAAACATTAAGTATGATAGCTTCGTTTAATTTTGAATCTTCATTCTCGGTAATATTGTTCTTAATTCTATTAATTGAAGCTATTATATTGTTCACCAAATCTTCATGATTTGATCTATTCGAGCTTGCAGTGACATTGGCTATGGAATCTAAAAATAATTTGGCTCGTTCTCGGTCCTCTAAATAGACTCCATTTTGTGAAGTTTTGTTGTGAATTTTAAATATGTCTTCAATGATTTTTGTAAAAGGACAATTTGTGCTTTCGTTTGTAGGTTTCGTTGTTGTAGGTAAAGATTCGTTGTGGACTTTTTTTATGTGTACTAGGAGTAGAACGAAGATATATTTGTATCTGAAATACAAAACTCCAGTTTATTTTACATTACATTGAATTTTGAGTATTGAAAGTCAAATTAAAATATCACCAATATATTCAGAGTAGCAGGACACGATAATAATGTTCCGGACATCCTCACTAATTCACCGGTCTCAAACGAGAGCCCTTTACTATGAGTACTAGAGCCTAGACCCTACAAATTCACTACCCAAACACATAGACTAGTACCAATTTAAAAAAACTTAGTTTCCCAAATCGTTCCTACTGGGAATTGAGCGTGAAGCTCCTCATCCAACGCTCACACGCAAACCCTTGGCACGGCGAAAATACTATTTTATAAGATTTTTATACAGCCTTCAAAAAGGAGGTGGATCTTAATTCGATTGTATTGTTTTTGTGTATATGTTTCGCGATTACTTCGGAATTTGAGAACCAATTTCGATGATTCTTTGGAAAGGGGGTACTTCAGAGTGGCCCCATTTATATTTAAAGAAAATATTCTGCCAGTAAGAATGGCAAATTAGGGAATGAATCTGGTTTATTGAATTTCACACACTTTCCGACAACTGATTTTAATACAACTTGGCACATATTGTATGCAATTCTAATGAAAATGAAATGTTACGATGATGGCCAAAAGTTGGTCTGATGATGGAAATCACAGATATGATTAACTCTTCTGCAGTAGGCTCATATCGACTCATCCGTAGAACAAAGATCTATGTGCAAGATTAGTTGTTCTCGGGACATAGTACATTTTAGAATAGAATAGAATAGAAAACATTTATTCCTTAAGTAGACAACACAGCACACATGCATTTTGTAATAATAACAATAAAAATAGTACTAACTACAAATATATAGAAGAGTATAACGCGTGTGTGTTGCGCTGACAAGGAAACCGTGACCCACTCAGCTTATTGTCGTCTCACTTATAGTGCTACGACGCTGATTTTCAGCGGATCCGGCAACAGAACACACACATTTCAGGTTTCTTACCACGGTAAGAAACAGAATAAAAAGAGGTCATACCGTGGCAAGAAACCTGAAATAAGTGTTAATCATTTAATAAATAACCACGAAAGCCTTAAAATCTATATAATTGTCGAAGACGCTGCGGCAACGAACATAGTGAAAGCGAATAAGCAAAGTTTTGAAATCGGTCTTTTTTCATTAAGTTTTTCAGCAATGTACTTTATTTAAAGTCTCTTCTCTTATTTCTAGCAGTGGATTTATAAAAAAATGAAACTAAACTTAGGCAAACCTGTAATTTATAGACTGTAACGGATTAAGATCACATAATAAAGTTTAAATTCTTTTAACGAACGCTATTTAATTGTCACTTGTTACAAGTAAAGAAAATGAAAGTAGCTTTCTCTAACTTGAGTATGTTATTTGTGTTATATAAGTTATTTGTGTGGATACAGGAAACATTTATCTCTGTGTTGTAAGTTGAGTTCTGCATAAATACATTTTAGGTAACCGTAAAAGCTAATCTTGAAATCTTGACAAGATTCTTTATCATCATCAGTACGTATCACTGCCAGAGACGAGTCATTACAAAAGAGAGATTGCATTTTATTGGTCGTTGGAGACTTTACAACGGACTCCATTTTACAGTTACATATAATCCATGGCCAAAAATGCAGCCAGGAAGCTTGGCATCCTTTCCAGGGTGAGGAGTTACTTCGCTCTGGAACAGCCCCCATATCTTTCTACATTAGTTTTGTAGTGACCCTCCCCACCGACCCTGATGGTATACGAGAAGGGCACTACAAACTATGCGCGCACCTTATAAATTCAGGTTCTGCGCCAGACCAGCCAGTGTACAGGGTTGTCACAGACCTCTGTCACTTGACTTCATCCGGTTCTTCGAGAGGCTAGTGCCTAGGGTGAGCTACGCCGGGTGCACGTACCCTCTCTATTTTCCAGATAGGTACTGACTGCTGTAGGCACGCTCACTTCCCGTTGCGCATTGCACAACTAGCGGTTGCCACCGCTAAGCCGTCGACTCTGAGTCCACTACCAAATTTTATCATTGGTGGCGAAGCTGTAAGCCACGCTCGCTTCCCGATGTCGAAAAGCGACGTCTCTCCAGTTCCCAATAATCTAAGCGGCTGGAGGGACCGGGGGATATCTAGCTTATCCTCTACTAGCTCTCCGGGCTAGTGCAGTTGCAGTGTCCTGCGACAATGTCCGGACATAGCCACCGACTTAAAGGGCAACTCACGTGTCCCGCGCGTCTCCTCGCTTAAGGCCCTCAACTAGACCGCTACTAAGACGCGCTAGCTGCTCACGAGTCAGACGCCCCGGCCATACCCAACCGGGGCAGACAAGCATGTCCGTCTCTACAGCTAACCGCAAACCCCAGCGAGTCCATTCCCAAGTCCTGGTAGGCAAAGGCGTATCACTGGCGGAGGGTTTGGCGCGGACGCCCGCTGTACCCTGGCCTTGCCGTCGAGCCACTAGTCTCTCCGGAAAACCCTATCTCTCGGGTCGGTAGATAGCGACACTACCGGAACAGTTGTTTTAGTTGTACCAAACACAAGTCAGGTCGTGTATGGAGTACTGCTGCCACCTATAGGATGGTTCTGCTAAATACCAACAAGCCACCTTGAATTCACTTGAAAAGCGTGTCAAGGGGCTTTAGAGGTGACTGGGAATTAGTAGAAGTGAAGCTGCAGAGCCTTGAACACCGGCCTTCTCCATCATCATCGGGGGATCAGACGATGGATGGGATTCCATCCCTATGTTGTGGATATTTCAATGATTGGCACAAAGCGTTTTGCTTCCACATTTATATGGCGAACGGTTATGGAGTGGAATTCTCTGCCTGCAGACTTGTTCCCAGAAAGATATAACTTGAGTCTTTTTACGGCGAGAATGATTAGGCATTGTTTAGGTAAGCATGCTCCATCGTTGACTTCATCCTCACTTTCCGTCAGGTGAGATGGAAGTCAAATGCGCAATTAGTTAAAAAATAATAATAATAATAACACTTTTTAAGGGTTGTAAACCGTCTTCGGCAAGCACATTTAACTGCAATGTTTTTCGTCGCCGTTAGCGAGAAGTGTCGCTACTTAGTATTCACTAATGTTTGTAACTAAAACTAAAGTCATTGGTACATGCTACTACAGGGAATTGAACCACCAACTTCTATCAGCGGTCATTCAAGAACCTGATAAAATTGTTAATCGCCACTGTTAAACATTCTGTATTTTTGTTAGTTTTAATTAATATTTAGGATAAATTTTAAACTAGGCTGAATGTACGTAAACCTATGCCAGTGTATAAGATCTCTCTTCTGTCAAAAAAAGTCTATCTTTTGCTTAAAGGACGGAAAAAGTCTGAGATCTTTTGTGCCTTGCCTCCAAATAATCAGCTCAAGTTTTCTTCTTTTTATTGGGAATTGGTAAAATAAATTTCAAGCAGCTCTCTACACTTAACAGTCGCGTTTTTTATTTATATATTTATTACACACTTGAACAAGAAGAACACTACGGGTAATTGTTAATTATATGGTGTCAATTTTTTGTAGTAGTAAAGAGTCTCCTTGTGAAAGCGTTCGTCCAAGGAAGTGCTGCCACCTTACCTATTTCTGCCGCCAAGCAGTAATGTGAACATTACTGCATTCCGATTTTGAAGGGTAAGGGTGCTGGTGAAATTACATGCACATTGGACTTGTCAACCTATGTCTCAGGGTGATAGGAGCAGTGGTAGTGCCATTTTTGCGATTTAAAACTCTGAGTGCCACTGCAACTGTTATGGACAGGCATGTAGTTTACCACCAGGCACGCGACTTGGCCTCCTGTCACGCGGTATCATAAAAACAATCAAATAAATAATATAATGTAAATATACTTAATGTATATACATAATAAACCTACATACCTTAGAATAACAACGCATACGAACCTAGTCCGCACACGCTAAGTGAGGCAAATTGAAGCGCTCCTAATGGGCCTACACGAGCGGTTGGGCCGTCAGTGCTCAAGGTCAACTTGCACCGCGAACAGATCAACAATTTTGGCTAAAAATGAGTGTAAAAATACGTCAGACAAACATAAAGTAGATACTAACATCACATTCCACAAGGCAGTAACGCGTTTCAACTTGTATTTTTATATAAATATTCACTACAACCGAAAATTAACCTACTACTAAAACTAGCCACATGAATTTGATTTTTGCCTCACTTGTGACAGTTCATTTGATATGAAACTATCATTCTATGCGTTATAATTCTAAGCCTACATAATATATTATAACACTTTGTAACAACACAACAACATTATACGGACTTGATTTTGATACTAGTCAAACAGATGATTTGAAAGATAAAATTTTGGTCCGAGCTTTGTCACGTTTATGGTTATCACTTAAATAAGTGCACAGAAGTTTAAAAAGTTGTTAGAGATTTTCCAAATCACCTGACCCCATTTCTAGTACGTTTAAGTTACGGTTATTTCTTACATGTATGCTTTCATTTTACTTTTGTATACAATAAATAATATATAGTTACTTTTTAACTAAATTGCATTTAAGTTTAATCTACTCTGTGACTCATAGATGTCACGTCGACAAATTGATACGCCCGTTCGTGTTCTTTGTGACGACTACTACTAAGCAATAAAGCCGCTTATTGTATAGACTCTTTCCATTATGTTGTTTGATCTTGTGTGCAATAAAGACTATTTGTATTGTTTTGTACATTGCAGTTTTATTACTTTTTAGAAAGGACTGTGTTTAAAACCATTTAGCAGTATAGCTTCTTGTGAAAGAATTCTTCCAGTGAAGCACTGTTATCATCGTGTTTAGGTTCAATTATGACATACCTTATGTACTGAAAAGTAAAACAGCAACACAGAAAAGCATTTTTCTTGAGTGCTACGTTCATATAGCAGACGTCGACTTATTCTGTGCATATTTTATGGAAAATGTGTGCCGTATACGATTATCTACTGATGTCCTTTTCAATATCTGTTCTGCCACGTGGTAATGACAGGTGACGGCTT